AACAGCGTCTTTGATTTCTGATCGTTGACGTAGATAGAAGCTTTGGGTCCTCTCTCCCACTCGTTTGATACGAGATACTTCGAACGTCGTGGTTTCGACTGCATGCCACAACACTGAGTGATCTTTTATTCTGCATTTGCGACCAGGTTTGCGGCACGTACGCTGCGATTAGTAGAAGATGGAAAAGATGGGTACGAAATCTCGTATTCTTAGTTCTGTTCACAGCATCCAATGCACTTCAAGGCTTAACAATCAGATCGCTTCCTTCCGCCTGGTTCTGAGACTAAGTTGTTCAACATATTGACATCCGGACTCGGATAAACATACCTGATTCATTCAGATGTATTCATTCTGTTGAGCGTGAATGAAACATAGGAAACCAATCCGGTTTTCGTGAACATTGTTTCATCAGATTTAGCCGAAGACCAGTATTTCACTGGTGTTGTAAAAATCGGCTATATTCGCTTCATTTGGTTTGTAATTACCGATTATCGAGCTCCCACCTTGCCTCATTTCAGTCTTCGCAAGAAGTTCTCGATCGAGGGTGGCAGTGAATAATTTTGGCGAGAGGGTATCGCTTTGTCGAGCCCCTCTTTCCACATCGTTGTTAGTATCGTTCTAAAATGCTGATATCTTGGCTAGAATTTCTTAAATAGCTCACAAAAAATCTTTATACACTGCAGTAGCCCTCGATTCCTTAACTGTACCCCTTGATCCTTTGTCTATACACCATGGCTACCGAGATCTTCCATAACTGCTTCTATCTCAGCTAAGTCAATAGCTTTCCTTATGTCGATGTAAGTGAGACATAGAGATCTCTTGTACTTTCGTGTTGCTTCAGTAAGTCTTGGTGTCGTGTAGATGTGGTCTGTTGTATTGAATCATTTTCGAAACCCTGCTTGCCGACATGGTTGCCCTTCGTCCAGTGTTCTGTCAACCCTTTCAAGATGAATCAAGTGAAGAGCTTTTTAGGCAGCAGACAGTCAATATGGCTTTCTGATGTTCCATTGAGTCGGGACCATGAATTCTAGAAGGCAATGTGTAAGTGGCCGAACCTGTGAATTGATGAGGAGTAATGGAAGGTTCTTGTGAAGTCTTATTTTGCATGGATCAGGTGTTCTACTCTTCATTCAAGAAAAAACCTTGTCGAATCTGGGAAAAGGCACCTGGTGGTGATATATCCATCCCTCTTTACTTCACATGAGGGCAAGAAGATGTGGCTATTGAAGAGTTCCGAGTAATAATCATAGAAAATTTTCTCTAGACAATATAATCAGCACCTATCCTGCATAAAAAGTTTCGTCGAACGAGGATACTTCAATCAAGTAGTGTTCCATGCCAGACGATACACCGAAATGGAGAAAATCAGGTGGAGCCGGTAGCCAATGCATCCGAGCGATAACCGATGGGCACCTTAGCGACTCCATATTTCGGAATGCTACAAGCAAACCAGGTCCAATCCTATGCTTAGATATAACTACTATAATGCTGAGATATTTGCAAAACTCCGGACCGCGGGTCTCTGCGGTGGGGAACGAACGCGCTATTGTCCTTTCCGGGGAGTAACGCGTTCACCACCACACCATACGGGTCTTTTGTTTCGCCTGTCTCTCAGCTAGTTCTATCGATCAGCGCCATCAGCATTATGGTTGTATTCCACATACCACCTTGCCATTAAAAAATAGGCAATAAATAAAAAGCAATGACATTGAAATTTATACTATAACTTCAGCTTAACTGAGTACAAGCCAGTTTGCTATTCTCAGATCAATCCCGTTGACAGGTGATTGCTAATGACATCTACAAGTTAAAATATGTCACTCGATGTTGAGAAAAAGGCGAAACGAAAGACCTGTATGGTGTGGTGGTGAACGCATTAACCGCCGGAAAGGGCAATACGGAGTTCTATCCTCACCGCAGACACATGCAGTTTACAAGCATCTCAGCAACATTGTAGTGATAATCAATGAGCTCAACGAGGCAGGGATGGGACTACGCATAAATAGGTTTGAGAGCCTGTTCATGTGGAATTCACTTTGAATGTGGAAGCAAATCAAATCGATGCTTCTCTGATTGCAGCGACCACCTTGTACGTTTACTTTTTCAATTCAGTAAACAAGGGTAGTAGCATAAAACTGAGATTAGAAGGAGACCATGATGGGTCACGTCTATTCCTTTCAGAGAAGCCACAGATCAGCGAATGAACCCGAAGCTTCCGCGTTCCCTATTGACTCAACGGTCTTCCCAGCGTTTTACAACGCAGCAGAGTATTGGCCTAATACTTCAACTAGGTAAAGAATTTTGTGCACCACAGACAGATCATTTGAACGATGTCTTACGAAATATAACTGGGACACACAACGTCTAATAAGAACGCTCAGCTCAGATCGTCAACCATCTTGGACATCCGGATAACAAATACGATTCGATAGCGAAACATGGATTGTTCACTCATATAATGAGAAAAACAGAATACTGCTGGAAAAATGAGACTGTTCAGTGAACTAAAATGAACCACAACAGTATTTAAGCATTTTCTGCAGCGAACGCCTACACGATGGGCAGACGTGTTTATAGGTCACATCAACCATCGGCATTACCAGATAGCAGCGATTGAAGGATCACTGAATACGCCATCACCATGTTCGAAGCAGACCATCACCATGGGCGAACTGCGCTAAGGAAACGAATGGGAAGTGTGTGAAGACTCGCACTATTCGTGATGATAAGTTTGTTTAGTATCTCAACAAATACCTTCTTAGCTACAAAGCTTCACTGATAACTCTCTGTTTAAAGTGAAGATTCTGGTTCTTTATTTCCGACGTTTACTCTACTGTATACCAGTGGCTGATTGTTTTACCAATCTTTTCCACATAAGAATACTTGGATGTCTTAGATTATTTAAGGGAACAGTCAAGACACACAAAATTTGCTCGAAAGTACCTATAAAGAACCGCTTTCTGTTCTTAAACGGTACATGAACCCTTTCCGAATGTGGCTACATCATAAAGTGGTTCAGCAACCAGATAATAGACATGTACTGATCCACTACCCCTCTTCCCATAATTCACGCACCAAAAAACACTTATTAGAAACATGTACTGAGGAGGTGGGAGCTTGTGTACAGGAGGTGAGCGGAAGGAATGGACATACTTGACACAACAAATAGTCGTCTTAATTGGATAGGAAGCAACAGCTACTCCGGTTGGGTCTAAGGCGAAGGTTCTGTCAGAAAATGTTTCTAACTAAGATCAGCTCCCCTTCAAACCATCGTTTATGTCCAACAAAATTATCGTCGTTATTGAGAGACTGTTAAAAAGGAGTAAGGACAAGAAGAAAAATGGAAGGAAAAGTCTAGAGAGTTTTAGCTCCACTTAACTTCGTCATGAATAATGAATTTACGCGGCTAGATTGCTCAGTTTACACAAGGTCGCGAAACAAATTTTTTTCTGCTAACGTTCATCTTCGTCTTCCTCAGAGCCGACGATCCTAGTTGATAGCTCGTAGGCTTACGTCTTCGCGTTGTGGGCTTTCGTAGTCGTATCGAACCACATCTTCTTGAGTGGAGCACCGCTTGGGTACCTTCAACTATCGCCCAACACGCACACCACATACAGCAAATGACGATTAAATTGGTGTGAGCGACGATATAGAGTTGCCTTGCCCGCAGTATTAAAATTCAGAAAAGTCTCATGAAAATCACAAATTTTTGAAAATTTCGTGCAAAATTGTCCCCGTATCCTTCTGCAACGTAGTTCTGCAACACCTTCTTGACATACCACTAGTATCTGTTGCCTTGCTTAGGACAATTCGAACTCTCACTCAGACATGATCTTGTGCGAAGGAAATAAATGGTACGTTGAAATATTTTCAATGATTTATTCTCAATAACTCCTATGAGTGGATTTAGACTCATGCATCAACTGTTGAAGTACCAAGGAATGACGTAACCGTTATGTAGTACATTCCCGAAAACGAATATTAATTTAGGTAAGAGTGCAACGCCGAGCATTTGTCCAGGAGAAGTGCTCTTCAGCAATCTCTGCGCACCTTTTTCAGAAAGCGGTAAACATGAGGTGTCAGTGATGCTTCTGAGAAACTTTCTACCTCTAATGGGAAAGAACTCCTCCCAACGATTTATCGCCTCATCATGGCTGGGAGGTATTCCTGGGTGTCAGGCTGCGACGTACATCGGGCGATCCCATCCCCATGGCAGAGTCTCCCAAGCTGAGGGGCCAGGCGTTCCAATCAGGAAGCTCAACTAGGAGTAAACCAGTACCAAGATCCGTCAACGTCCTGGTATCAAATTAGTCGCATGGTAGCAAATCTCCTTCTGATCCACAAGAGTGGCGACCTTCTGCGGTGGTGACCACCTAGGGCAGGCTTTGACCAGGCTGACATCGGGATTCCAGAAAATTACAGTGGCTAAACGAGCAAAACTCCAAAGAGATGGGGATTGTGAAGGGACCCGAACAATCAGTCAGGACTGACCATCAAAGTATCAAAGTAAAAGTAAAGTGGGAAAGAAACCAAGTATTGTATGTCTATTGTTGTCAAACTTCGATTCTGCTCGAGTTGTGCGAGATTTGATCAAATGACAATTTTATAGCTTAGAATCACGAGTTGGCTCATGCGGACACACGAATTTGCAAGTCATTTTGCCTTAAATCTACATTTAACAGGTAGAAATTCTGCAGTAGTTGGAAGGAATTATATGACGATCTCGCTGTGTGTGATATACAGACCTAAATCAGATCTCCAGCCTCAATCGAAAGAATTTATTTCACGTAAGCAAGCCGCAAGACAGAAACGAAAGAATTGTTACGCACTACAGATGCTAATAGCATAAAACTTGGCATGCATTACTTTGTGAGCAACAATGTGAACAACAACGGTGAACTGAGACCAGAAGTAACTCATAAAGCAACTATCTAGGCAATCTAACTAAAATCAAATATGATGGAGGCTCAAAGTATTAAAACAGAACCTTAGTCTGAAAACTACTTGTCATGTTGTGAGCCTGTCGATACAAACGAAGACTTTCTTACAACAATCACAGGAGGAGAAAGGAATAGCTTTAGACGAAAAGCATCCCCACCGTTTAAATAATACCTGTAAGTAAAATCTTTGGTCTTTGCATCACGTGCCATTTCACACTATTATTCACAGTGACAGAAAAGAATGCAATTGAATCTACAGAAATCTATGAACGAGGCACTCCAAGTAACAGTGGGGACATATTTTACCTCATTAGGCGTTTCTCCCTGATGAAACCTAAATTGTTATAAAGCCGTTGCGCGTTCACATTTAAAACCTCTGTCTCAAGAACAACTTCGTCACACCCTTGGGCTTGCATTCTTTCAATGGCACGACGAACTAAACGCGTTCCTAAAAAATATACGAAAATTGTCCCATTAGTTAACAAGAAAATCAAGGAATCTAAAGTAGCTTATAAGGATTTAATGACTACAGAAAAACAAGGCAATAGTGACCGAGTTACAATTAGAAATACAATCTTCTAACACTTATTTACTGTCTATTCCTTTAATGTGAGGGCATTATGTGATGTAGAACCACAAGGAAGCCGAAACATAAGCAAAACTAAACAATTAGAAATAGAAAGTAGTACCCGCTTCTATTTTTCGTTAACGTAGGGGTTTGGCAGGAAATGTCTGCATGAAGAAGACTTAACAGCTTCAACTATGCAAACCTGACGATGGGACAACAGTGGTTGCTTTCGAGACGTTCAACACAGAGTAGTTACTAAAGTTATTTTCATAAACATATTCGAAAACCACTTTGAGTTAGTGCGCTTCATTGAACGTAGGTAGTAAAACTTTGAGTTGAACAGTGGTTTGAGCTGATACCTAGGGTGAAGTAACAGATTTAAACACATTTCTGTAAAATACAAGGAACTGATTAAGGCTAAGTAATGACATCCGACAAAATTAAAACCAAGTCAAATAAGCCACTCAAAACACATATTCTGTTAAGATCGGTCTTCTTTTCCTAGAAAAAGAAACATATTATAGGTGAAAAGCGCGGAAAGGATAATTAAACCAAAGACTAAGGTGTATTATAAAACCAGTACACAGAAAGAAAATTAAGTCTAAACAGCTTGAGAGAATTGTTATCTACAGAGACAGTCTTCACTTCAAGGAGCACTGATGGCAAAAACACCGTCTAAAGACCAATGATTTTGAGGTATTTACGAAACTCCTGACTGCAGGTGTACCTGGACCTGTGGTTAGGAGTTCCCAAAATATCTCAGTATCATTGTAGTTATATTTCACATCACACCCTGCCATGAAAAAGAATACGCAGTAAATACTAAGTGACCGCTAATGACTTTTTTATGATCCCAACACTTCTTGGAATTCATTCACTTCGTCTCATCCATAATCCAGGAAAATTTTCCGGTTTCACATGTGGGTTTTTTTTGCTGCTTGAGGACATTTGTCTACTTTGTGAGTGTCAATGAATTCGATTCTCTTTGGAGACCCAGGAAAACAGCCTTGCTGTGGTGTGAATAAATGTTGAGTGAACTAATTCTAAGCAAATCTAGCACCAGTCCTCCAAACTAGTAAATAAAACGGTTGGACGGACAAATGCTAGACCGAATCACGGTGTTGCAGCATCACTTCTACAGTGCTAGCCATACTCACTCCAGGAATTATGGTTAAGTTCGAATTCTAAAAGTTCCGTTGAACAGACGGATGGTGTCGACAACAAAAATCAAGTAATGGCCGTTCGAATTAATGAACTTTATTTGAAAAACAAGTAAGGAAACTAAAATTTAAGAAAGAAAAAACTAGGTACATAAGAAGCAAAAAGATATGAGACGCCCATGAGCTAGAAAAATGCAGTTGGAAGTAGAGGCTACGAAACCCGAAAGGAGACGAAGCATACCTAGTCCCAGTTTCCTACACGACTCGTCGATTGCTAGCATCGCCAAATATCCTTTTCGTCGGCCTTCAGCATTTCTATCCAATTTGCAGACAACTGCTCCAACATACACTTCCGAAAGCGTATCATACGCCTTAAATAAGCTTTGTATCATCTTGATCAATTATTTCCATACAGAGTTATGCGGCGATAAAATAGCCCTTAACACTATTATTTAGCAATTATGTACATATATACATATATATATATATATATATATATATATATATATATAGTAAACTGTATAGCATTGGAATAGTACAAAAACTAATGCAAGTATACAAATAATATNATATTATTTGTATACTTGCATTAGTTTTTGTACTATTCCAATGCTATACAGTTTACTATATTATATATATATATATATATATATATATATATATATATAATATAGTAAACTGTATAGCATTGGAATAGTACAAAAACTAATGCAAGTATACAAATAATATAATCCTCACAACGGTTTACCGCCTCATCTGACAGGTGTTCCAGGATGTCGTGCTGTGATGTTCAGCGGGGGTCTCCTAATCTGAGGAGTCCGGCGTTTCTATCAGGACCAATACCAGGATCCACCACCGTCGTAGTATCAAAGTCGCATGGTGGAAAATCTCCCTTTGATCCACAAAGGCTGCGATTGTCTGTGGTGGTGAAGACCTCGGGCACTTTGACCCGGCTGACCCCAGGATTCTAAGGAACCACAATGGCATAACCAGCAAATCTCCGAAAAATGGACATTGTGCTGGAGCCCACACAACCGTAGTAATAATATAATACAACAGTGATAATATAACAAATATAAGGTAATGACCATAATATAACGTAATAACAATAAAAATAGAGTGCAGTTTAATAATGAACATAAAAGCATAAAGCTCTCGGCGTTGATCAATCCCTGAGCGATACGCGATGCATTCGACTTGATTACGCATCGTTGGAGGTGATTGTGCATACCTGGCCTTTATAATGACTCGCAGTGGCTTACCGCAAGTGCTGCTATCGTCTCAGACAAGTCTGGTACCAATTTGTCGACCCCGGAGGTATGGAGGATTTGATGAGCCTGGCGCGCCGGTATAGATCTCATGTTTATTGCAGAGCACCTCCTGCGCCCCATAATACAACATAACATAATATAATATAATACAAAGTATAAGCTGTATATAATGTATAATACTACACTGTACCATATATGCATATACACATATATATGTATGCATATATATATATATACATATATATATATATATATATATATATATATATACTACAAACTTTCCTATCGTTTTTTCACCTATGACACGAAACGTTCGTGAACAATACAGCTGGGCGTGGACACATTTCAAAAAGCAACGTAACAACACCACAGACCCTTTCCAACTGTGTGGAGTGGTAACACCTATTACGATACCATGACGTAAAGCTTCGCCAAACAAAGTAAAGTGACGTCACACGTGACTACGAAGACTTTTAATACGGAGACACCACCTTCAAGATTCTGTTAAAATTATGAAGAAAATAAGACATACCAGAATACACAGCTCTGGCCAATTGTGTATGAAATATCTGTATGTATAAATGGAGTACGGCTCACTAAGGTCCTTAGTTATAAGACGCATGATATCGCCAATTTGATTCTCATCCTAAACGAAGTACTCCTCGAAGTAATTGGCACTTTAAAATGAAAAGTGTGATTTAAATCGTGACTATGATTTTAAGTCACTTTGATTTAAGTAATTGTGAGTGAGTAAGTAAAGTGTGACTTTAAAATATAGCATAAAGCTTTTAATTTTTTCACTCATGCCTATTATTTTTTCCTGACAGCGTATTATGCGAAATAGAATCACAACAACGCTGAGATATTTGCAAAGCTCGGACCCAAATATAGCATCGAACCCTCGATTATCGTTTCCGGGGCTAAAGTGCCACATATTACACCATTGATGCCCTTGCTTTGCCTTGCTCTCAACCGGCAGTTTCATCTTAGCTTCTAGCATTTTATTAGACCTTCCATTTTAACATTTCGAATTCGACTTTCCTTGAACCTCGGTATCCCTAATCAATATGTATTCTTTCTTTGATAAGCTTACACGAAGTTGATAATGATGTTTATTTTCGGCTAACGCTCCGACGTCTTCGTCTTCCTCAGAGCCGATGAACCGAGTCGATGGTCCTCGCTTGTTACTCGTTTTGACGTGGCAGCTTCGCCTTCGAGTCGAGTCAGGTCTTTCTCAGTGAGCCATCTCCTCGAATGAGGCATCCCTACTCGGTGATGCCCTTTTATACACGATGCCGATGCATCCATTTTAATACTATTAAAAATAGTGATCTCCTGCAATGTAGGTTAGGTTAAGAAAAAGCTTATCATCTTCGCCTGAAAACTTTACAAGACTGAACAAAATCCCCTGTAAAGTCTACGGAACTTGTCGCTTTATGACAGCGTTATTACTTGGATAATTGAATGGCTCGTCTTCACTGATTGTACGGACTCCGGTATAATTTCCATTTTCGGAGTTTTGCTGGCTTAGCCGTTTTGGTTCCCAGGAGTACCTAGACCTGCTTAACCGAAGCCTGCCCCAGACCGTCACTACCACAGGCAGTCGCCGCACTTGGGGATCAGAGAGAGATTTGCCGCCATACGACTAGCTTGACACTAGGACAGTGGTGGATCCTGGTATTGGTTTACTCTTTACTGGGCTTCCTGATTGAAACGCCGGACTACTTCTCAGCCTGGGAGACCCTGCCAGGGGATGAACTCCCTGGTAAACCGCTGACAGAACAATGTTGTTAATAAAACTAAGCTCAAATTTCGGATGAGGAACATGTCCTGAACACTAGAACCGCTCCAAATAGACTGTGCTCACATCAAGAAATCACATCCGAATAAAAAAAAGTAACATGCGGTATCCTACTACAGGATGCTGAATTAAACGGATATCAACAATCGCGATTCTGCCATAAATTGATATGAGCAGCACGTAGGTGGAAATCCTCCAGCACGTGTATACGCGTGTTTATGAGTTGACTCAACGTGTTAGAGGTGTTCCAAATGAAAACTTGCTCTCTAATGAGTAAATAGCAAATCATATCTTTTTAAAGACTACCCTAAAAACCAGCTTTACATCTAGGGAACATTGGTCAGCTAACCCAGAATACACATCAAAAGATGACGTACGGAAAGCCGAATAGGGAGACGGCACTAAAACTGTTGCATGAAGACAGAATGTAAAATCGAGAACTAAGGTGATGAATTAGAAACTCAAACGAAAAAATCCTAAAATTAGAGGAAAGAAGAAGTAACGACGATGAGAACAGGAAAACATTTAGTACAGGCCAAAAACGATTTGTTGGAGTTAGAGTCCACAGCACGAGTATGACCACTCCTATACCAAACATGAATATCGGCTTTGAAAAGGATTATTCATTGTACTGACTTCTGCCGCATACAGCTTTGTATCCATCTGCAATAACGATGAAATAGTAGATATCTTGAGAAGATGTAAAAGTTTTTGACAGAGGAAATTACACTTTCAACAATGCAAATGTTCACCTCCAAGTCTAGACCTGAATGACAGCTACACCTGAAGAACTCCACAATCACGATTACGGATGCTTGAATTTAGCACTTCTACTCCGCCTGTATTAACCCTCGCTTTTAAAAACATGGCATAAATAGTCGAAATGAAACCTAAGAAGAAAACTGAAACTGTTATCATAACATAAACCACAGATACGTCGTTTTCTTTCTCAGCAATCGTCAGCTTGTTATACAGCATATGTTTACTTACTCGGATACTTGGACGGCCCGTCCTCACTGGTTGAGCAAGCCCCAGCATAATCTCCATTTTCCGAAGTTTTGCTGGTCTAGCCACTGTTTCCCTGTAATCTCGAGGTCAGCCTGTCTAACGTCTGCCTCAGGTCGTCACCAACACAAGCAGCTGCCGTCCTTGTGGATCCAAGGAAGATTTCCCACCATGTGACTAGTTCGATACCAGGACGGCAGTGGTTCCTGTTATTGGTTTACTCTCAGCTGGTCTTCCTGGTGGAAACGCCGGGCTCCTTCTCAGCTTAGGAGACACTGCCGGGAGATGAATCTCGGCTGTACACCGCAACCCGACACCCAAGAACACCTCCAAGCCACGACGAGGCGGTAAACCGTTGGAAGTATCCATACGTTTAATCCCGTACAAAAACACATGCAATACAACAGTAGCCTGAAGTTTCGGTAGTATTGCCTTCTTCAGATCCTGGAAGGGTACACTGAACCAAACTAAACTAAACTAATAAACCATAGAACTTTCCCTGGATCACGAACAAAAGACACATTTAGTCAACACTGAATAACACGGTAACCTAATGAACACGTTACTATTTGCACCAACAAAATCATGGAAGGGAAAAGCACCAAGCGTAGCGAATATTGCAGAAATGATAACAGCATCTATCGCCAATACCACTGCGCTAACCGCCCTTGATGATTGTACATGAAGTAAAAATATAACCACTTTCCTGCTGACGGGTGACTGCTGATGGCAGCACTAGGTAGAAAACTAGCCAGGAGAAACGCAGAGCAACAGCCTCCGTGGTGAAATGCATAATGCGCGAGCACCCCGGGAAGTGAAAACGTGGTTCGATCTGGCCCAGGGTCCGAGTTGCTAATATCTCAGCATCGGTGTGGTTGTATTTCACATCACACCCTGCCGTGAAAAATTATAGTAGGCAAAAAATAAAAGGCTGACATTATAACCACTTTATCGAGAAAGATTAAATACTTGCGGATTAAGATAAACCGTTGCTAGGACGATTGACAGTGTTAACCTTCAGCTAGATATCAAGAAACAGTGAAGAAATAACTCGAAAGACCGACTTTCTATAAACCTCGGCATAGATAGTTACGGGCGGGAAATAAATTTCGTCTCAAAAGCTAGATGGAGTATCAGTAGAACTCACATACAGTCTAGGAGCAATGAAAAGAATGGTCCCAACATGAAGAGACTTACAATCGCGAAAAAGAGACTGGCTGGGGTACCAAAAAAATAGTTTAAAAATGAAAGGAAAAACAAGGAAAAAAGTGAATGGAGTACGAAGTAAATACCTTGTAGTCGACGAGTATGATCGACGCAGCTCTCTCATTCCCCTTAGATTCCTCATTAAAGCGCGGATAGCGCCACAAGGCCTCGTTTGGCTGTGAAGTGAATGTACCCTAAAATGAACGTGACATAATAAGTCTCGAACTAAGACAGAATCGAACAACATCCACATCGCTAGAATTGCACGGTTCAGAAACTGCTCGACCATGAGCGATACGCAGACATCTCTTCAGGGTACCGATTGTGTTGTCCAGACTACTCCCCTCATCTTCGACTGCCATATTCAGCAAGATATCCTGAAACTCACATGCATGGCACCATACGAAGGTTTGAAACATGACAGTACAGTAGTAAAGGGAGATCAGAAAAGTAGAACATAACACCCACCAAACAACCATCCTTTCCTGGAAAATAATAGCGAGAATGATGTAATGAGGGAGAGCATTTACTTATTTGCGCGAAACGCAATGCGCAGAGACCGCAAGTACGGAATCGGTTCACGATCAACACGACAACTTTGTGAAGTGGTAACGCAGTTGGTGTGAAAGCTGAATGTCCACTGCTATATCCTTAGATTTCCAAGTGAAACAGTCATATATGCATATACATATATATGCATGTATTTATTCATATGTATATAGCAGAAACCACTGGGCTACTTTTGCACGCGACAGGGAAAAATGGAAGGTTTACTGGCATCCGCTCGAGTCACTAGGCGATCGAAAGGAGTGCATTCTTCGGGCTGTTCATTTTATATTTATTTTATTTCATTTATTTTGGTCGTTTTCTTACGACACCTATCCCACTGAACCGATAATTTGCCGGCAACACCAAACACGGTCGATGTAGTAGAAATGCACCGCCAAAGCTGTTCACAATCCTCAGTAATTTCCAAAGGGGCGCTGCTAAGGCAGAGTGAGAGATGCCATTCAAGAATGTGCGTGTGGCCTTGCTTTGATCCCATACTAGGCCAAATAGCCCTCCCTCCTCATGCATCTGTGGTGGCGAACTTGGTATCAATCGTGTCTCGGGAACTCCTAGCGATCCACGAAGAGTGTGGCTGAGTATGGTGAAGACCTAGGAACACCTTAGTAATGCTGTCAAGTAATTCAAGAGAGAATTTATTCGGTTGATGTCCAAGAACATTCATGAGGAAAACCAAAATCCTCAGGCGGCACCGAACTGACGTGCAAAACCGAAGATCATCATGGATGACGTACGCGAGGAAACGAACCGACTGAAAGAAATCCGCGCAATATGTGAAGTCGAGTCATGTGAAATTTACAAAAAACCATGGCTTGCAAGGACCTTTTCCAGCTCGAGTTTATTCCGTGGCGAATGGCCATATAAACGGTGTATTTGAAAACCGCATCTCAAAAATTAGGCGAAGTTCATCACTACGATACGATGTAAAATTACAAAAGAAACTTCTGTAGAGACGTTTGTGTTAAGGAGAATGTCTATGCCATACACAAAGTATGGAGGACAAAGCTCTCGGCGTTGAGCAATCCCTGGGGGATACGCCATGCACTCGACTC